ATCTTGGTGTTGTCCCAGTCGAAGTTGTGGTTCTCCTTGTCCATGTGGATTGAGATGAGTGAGAATTGGTCGTGTCTTTTTGTAGCCAGTTGGTGTTCATGTACTCTTGTTGTTAGTTTCCTTCCTGTTTGTCCGATGTAGTGTTTCTCGCAGTCTCTGCAGGGGATCTTGTAGATGACATTTGTCCTGTCCATGGCGGGGAGTGGGTCTACTCACTCATCTCAATCCACATGGACAAGGAGAACCACGACTTCGACTGGGACAACACCAAGATCCTGGGACAGGCTAGGCAGAGACAAGCACGAGAATTCCTGGAAGCATGGCACTCCACGAAGCAGGCTATTAATAAACACATTGAACTCGACCCCATATACATTCCACTACGGAAGAAACCCGGAAGTGAGGCAATCCGTCGCAACGGACCCCAGAGTTTAAAAGCCAGGCGGGAAAACACACCGACGCTTCATCAGAGGCTGCACTGAGGATGTTACCAAGCACGGTAACGAAACGTCTGCAGAACAACAAACCAGCTCGGCGAGCCAACCAACCTCAACACCCACAACCCGAGCTACAAATCTACTCCAAAAACCTTAGAGTTCACTTTATAGATAAGACACACTGCAGCTACTGAGCTTGGTTGACAGCTTTCATTACCACATATTATTCACTTATTCCACTTTGAAAACCCTATCATTTGTGTTTTGTGTATGTTCCCTGAGAGTGATATGGCACCAATCAGCCATGAATTTGACATTTTCCATTGTGGTAACAGGAGTATAATTTGAACACATGATGAACACAATCAGCTCAAATTCCACCTCCTGCTGGATGATATAAATTAATTTTGGAAGCTTTGCATGCCTGATAGAAGGCTTAGGTTTGGTTGGAAAAATAATTACCCTTATGTTTTCTTCTGACAGACTCCTTAGAATCCTGTTCATCCATCACTCCTGTGCTCGCCGATTGGGCTTGGCCCCTGATTTTAAAAAAGCAAATACCTTAAATTTAAAATTCCCACCATCGTTTTCAAATCCCTCTGTGGCCTCACCCCTCCCCAGCTCTGTAACCTCCTCCAGTCCCACAACTTTTTGAGATATCAGCACTTCTTCAATTCTAGTCTCTTGTGCACCCCCTGACTTTTGGTAGCCATGCCTTCATCTGCCTGGACCTAAGCTCATGAAATTCCTGCCTTCACCTTTCTGTCTCAGTACCTTGCTTTACTCTCTAATGACACTCCTTTAATCTGCCTCCTTGACCAAACTTTGTGCCATAGACTGACCATCTCTTTTTGTGATCTGGTGTCACATTTAATCTTTTAATGTTACTGTAAAATGTATTTGAATAAAGTAAAGAAATTTCATAAATCCAAGATGCTGAATTAATCTTGATTAGACTTTACATCAACATCAAGTCAACAAATTATACAATTATAGCTAAATAAATGTAAGATCTGTAAACGTTAGGATGCTTTACAGCGGTTGTAAAACAAACAATTTCCAACTCTGACAACAACCTCTTTCACTGAGCTTCAGGAGACTTAAAGCTGGATTGTAAAGTTATGTTGGTTTTTAAAAGAATGAGTGGAGGGCATTTTGATTGTAGATCTGTCAGAAGGAATGTCAAATAAAACCAGCCACTGAGACATACCAGACAACAAGGTGCAGGGCTGGATGAACACAGCAGGCCAAGCAGCATCATAGGAGCAGAGAGGCTGACGTTTCGGGCCTAGACCCTTCATCAGCACCTGCAGTTCCTACTATCACTGAGACATACCAGTCCAACTTATCCTGGAGGTGTTTACTAATCCACCCATTCAGGGAGGTTATAGCACAGCACTGGTGCAGCTAGGGCTTGAAGGTTTAGTGGAGATATGAGGCAAAACGTTTTCACCAATACAGTGGGAATCAGGAACTGTCTTCCTGTAACGGTGGTAAAGGTAGAAACTCTCATAACATTTAAGAAGTATTTAGATGTACAGTTGTGATGCCAAGACATTCAAGGCTATGGGCCAAGTGTTAAACATCGGGTTAGAATAATTAGGTGGTTGTTTATAACCGGCATAGACTTGATCGACATTTTTCTGCACTGTAGTTTTGTGACTGTATAACTATGAAATCCTGTAATTCAGGAGAGTTTTGCAAACACTTGTGTATTACAATCCAAGAACACAACTTGCTGTCCAAGACTCAATTATTTATACTTATTTCTTGGAAGGAATGATGGACAAAATTTCCAAACCTCAGTTGAAACAAGCTTACACAATCACTCTTAAGTAATGGGTGCAGAAGTGCAATGCTTTCTCTCCACTCTACACCAAATTCCAAAGACACCAAACTTGTGCAGTTAATTCACAATGCACTTCTTTAATGACTATACAGTGCATCAGTCAATACTGTTTACTTTATGCCATATTTTGAGTCACATCAGAGTTACAATCTTTTAACTCATCTTCCTGCTGACTAATTATCAACTATTCACAGTTAAATGCCACTAACAGGCAGGTCTGGAAACTGTGCTTGCAGTTTCTTTTTCATATTTTAAAGTTCAAATTTAAATTAAAATTTCAAACTAAAGTTCAGATACACTGATGTTACCCGATAATTCTGACTCTCAAGTTCCCACCTTTTGCACTGTTGATCTGTACAACTGCTATGAATATTTGCAAACGCCACACATGGGACATCATGATGAACTTTCTAAAATAGGGCTTGAGACAGTGAGAAATTTTGATTTTTATCAATTGACTTTGTTTGCATGAAGCATTAACAAAAGGGTCTAGGCCTGAAACATCAGCCTCTCTGCTCCTATGATGCTGCTTGGCCTGCAGTGTTCATCCAGCTCTGCACCTTTTTATCTCAGATTTTCCAGCATCTGCAGTTCCTACTATCTCTTGAACCTAGGCCTCCTGGTTTAGAGGTTGGGAATGTTACCACTGTGCTACAAGAGTTTTGGAATTGAGATAGCAGAGAAATCAGGAACATTGGAGAGAATACAGAGTTAATGTTTGGAATCCAGTGATCCATCCTCAGATGCTACCAGACCTTCCCAAATATTTCCTGCTCTAGCCTTTGCCACACACAAAAATATCCTTTATCCATGGTTCTTTGTTTTGTAAACCAGCAGTATTGGGACTGAACCTGTGACCTTTGCATTATTAGCACCATACACTAACCATCTGAGCTGATCTGACAGTGCTCAAGTTTAGCTTACCTACCTGGATGTGGAGGTGCCGGTGTTGGGCTGGGATGGACAAGGTCAAAAATCACACAAGACCAGGTTATAGTTCATAAAAAAACGAAAGAACTGTGGATGCAGTAAATCAGGAACAAAAACAAAGTTGCTGGAAAAGCTCAGCAGTTCTGGCAGCATCTGTGAAGGAAAAAAACAGAGTTAACGTTTCGGATCTGGTGACCCTTCCTCAGAGCTGAAGAAGGTTCCTGTTCTGAGGAAGGGTCACCGGACCTGAAACATTAACTCTGTTTTTTCCTTCACAGATGCTACCAGACCTGCTGAGCTTTTCCAGCAACTTTGTTTTTGTACCAGGTTATAGTTCAACAGGTTTATTTGAAAACACAAGCTTTCAGAGTCTTACTACTTCTTCAGGTGTTAGAGAGAGAGGTAGTATCAGACACAGAATTTATAAGTAAAAGATCAAAGTGTTACACCATTGATGAGGATGTACTAAACAAACCTAAGATGCTGTTAAATCTTTAATCAGTTAGAAGGTTTTAATTGGTTAATATGTATATGTAAATCCTCAAATCCCTTTCATGTCACTGCCCTGAGAGAACTAAAGGTTTTATCAGTGTAAAGAAGAGGTGACATTTTAGGTCAGACAATACATGTTAGGTGTGAGGCCTTGTTTAAAATCTGTTTGTGTTTTGGTTTGCATTATTTCTAAAGTAGGAATTTATAAAATGCCACATTGACTGACTGTCTATAAATTGTGTGCTTTTTGAACAAAATGGAATGTATCTGCAAATACAAATTCACCCCATAGGTTCACGTGTGTGTGTGTGTGTGTGTGGATGTGTGTTGTTGGGGGGGAAGTGTGTGTGTATGTGTGTGTGTGCAAGAGAGAGGGAGAGTGAGTGTGTGTATGAGAGAGAGGGAGAGCGATTGTGTGTGTGTGTGTGTGTGTGTTTGTGAGAGGCAGTGTCTGACCCCAAACTAAACACAAACAAATTCCAAACAAGGTCACACACCAACATGCATTGTCTGACCTAAAATGTCACTTCTTCTTTTACACTGATAAAACATTTAGTTCTCACAGGACAGTGCCTTGAAAGGAATTTAGGGATTTACATATACATATTAATCAGTTAAAACCTTCTAACTGATTAAAGATTTCACAGCATCTTAGGTTTGTTTCGTACATCCTCATCAGTGGTGTGACCCTTTGATCTTTTACTTATAAACTCTGTGTCTGATATTATCTCTCTCGCTAACACCTGAAGAAGGAGTGAGGGTCCGAAAGCTTGTGTTTTCAAATAAGCTTGTTGGACTATAACCTGGTGTCGTGTGATTTCTGACCTTATATACCTGGAGCTTCAACGCTCCAAGAATATCTTCATTCCTGAGTATTGCTGTTTTTTCCCATGGGTTTAAGAGCGGTTTGTCCCTTCTCTCAGGCCAGGTAAGTGAGTTTGCCACAGGGTGGGACAATTTTCACATTTTCTTTTAAACCTCGAAGTCAATTTGAAAACAAATTGGTGCGTGCTGTGTCCACATTATTACTGATGTTATCAATGCTCTCTCAACACAACCAGATACACATTTCTTTGGAGGGAGACCCACTTTTCAAAATGAGCTGTAAAATTGCTGAGGCTGGAGGGGAGGGTTTTGAAGGGGGAAAGGGTTAACAATGCTGACAGCACACCAATTGGTTCTCTCTTGGTGTAGTGCTGTGATTAGCTCTCATCCACCACAGGAGAGCTGATTGGTTCTGGCTGATTGAGACACAATTGGCTCTGTCTCTCTCTCTCTCGCTCTCTCTGTGCTCTAAAGTCTGAAGCATCAACTCCATTCAAATTCTCCTTCTCCCCCAGCAGTGAATCTTTCACACTGGAAGCCGGTAGTGGAGAATGTTGACAGCTGTGCTGATTTTCAGAGTCACTTACTCTTGGCTGACTGATTCTGTGGCATTTCAGTTCATCATCGTGGGGGCAGGAAAGCTTGAAAACAAGCTCAAAAGTTAAGGAGACTTGGGGTGGGGGAGAAAAAGAACTTTCACTGCAAGGCAAAAGTTCCAATTCCCTAATCAGCATGGTCTTTATATCTATGATAATCCTAATTGCTACAGGTTATAGCCCAGTTTTAACATGTCAGTTTCCCACCGACTGGAGACCCATGAGTGAAGGCTGCAGGGCTGAACTGGCTGAGATTATAGTCTATGCCCGGGTCCTGGCCATTCATCAGGACATGTACAATGTGTATAACTACCTCCCGTGGCAGTATGAGAGCAGTTTGTTCTACTCGGCGGAGATTGAGATGTTGTGTGACCAGGCGTGGGGCAGTATGCTGGAGGTACCTGGAGGATCCCGTCTCAACCTCACCGGTCTGGGCTACTTCTCCTGTCAGTCCCACACAGTCATTGAGAACAACAGCTATTTCATCTTCCTCAGGTAAAGGAAACCCGAAAACAGGGATAGCGACCACCAGGCACAGGGATTGGTTGCTGGTCTGAAATTGTGTTTTTATTTTCTCTTTAAAACAGTGCAGCTGAAGAAATTCTTCCTCTCTTTATTTGGTTGGATGTTCTGACTTAGTGCCAGTATTGATTATTATCAACTATCTCTAGTTGTTATAAAATGTGGATTGTGGTTTCCGTTCTAGAAGCTCAGATTGTGATTGTGCGAAATTCACTTCTTTCGCTCATTCATATTTAAACAGTTTTCTCATCCTGTGGGTTACAGCTCCGTTGAAAGGAACAGAAGCCTATATCTTTTCACTGAACTGGGAGAGCTCATGTAGCACAGTGGTAGTAGCCCTTCCTCTGAATCAGGAGGCCTGGGTTTGAGTCCCATCTGCTCCAGAGGTGTGTAACCAGGTTGATTAGGAAAATAGTTTCCTCTGAAACAGTGTTAATTGACCATTAGCAAATAGACCATTCATCCCCTTAAATCTGCTCCATCTATGTGGACTAGAATTTGCTGTTTTGTTTTATTTCCAATTCCCCACTTCTAATTCACTCAGTCTGGATAATTGAACCAAGCTACTCCTGAGGACGTGGTTAATCCTCTGGGGGAAATTTTTAATTGACACAGGCCATCTAGCACATCCTGCTCATGCCAGTTGGGAATCTCCCCTGCTGGTTTCTCCTAGCCCTTTAAGTTTTATTGTTCCTTACTCTAAGTGTGTCTCCAATCATCTTTTGAAAGTTCTTATGGGATCTACTTTCACTACCCTTTCAGGCAGCAAGTCCCTGATCATGACAATTTGCTGCTTAATTAGTTCCCCACTTCTGTTCGCTTTGGTTCTCTTGCCAATTGCTTTGAAGTTCCATTCTCGTCAGCCACTGGAACGGTTTCTCCCGTTTTACTCTGCTCAAGCCATGCATGACTTCAAACAGCTATCAGCATTCTGTATCTTTATTTTAAACAGGCTTCTCAATTTGTCCAGCCACAGTCAAAAGAGCTGTGTGCGTCCATCCCTTCTCTTCCAGTTCCTGCTCCCTCCTTTCAAACTGTGCTCTTTAGTTTATATTCTCTATCCTCATTCTTACAACAAAAATGCATCACTTCAATTCACACTTTTTGTGTTAAAATATGACCACCACATGTCTGCTCATTTTACCAATTTCTGTCCTTCTGAGGTCTGTCATTATCATCTTTCAGTTATGTTTTGGAAGTTTTGTAGCTCCTTTTGGCTTTGAAATGCTATCTGTGTAGTGAGGTCCGGGGCACCAATATAAATCCAAAATAGTAGCTCCAGCAGTCTTCGTACTAAGCCCTGGGGAACACTAGTATACAACTCCCTCCAGTCTGAAAACCACTCACCTACTGTTTGCATTCTGTGCCTTGGACAATTTTATATCCACATTTTTGTAAATATTCTGTTCCTAATTTACTCCCCAAAGTAGTCTTTTCTGAATGAAACGTTGTAATGTTATCTGACTGTAAACGCTATTTTAAACAACTGTTTCTTTTAACATTAACATTGGTTAGCTCAGTTGGCAGGACAGCTGGTTTGCAATGCAGAGTGATGCCAACAAGTTGGATTCAACTACTGCACCAGCTGAGCTTACCACGAAGAACTCTCCTTTAGACCCCCTCCACGTTTTGAATGCTTCGATATGAGATCTCCTCCCGCCCTTCTCACCTCCACGGAAAACATTCCCAACTTCAATTCAATCAATGATTTTGGAAGACAGCATCATCTACCAATGCTGAAATACTTTATTTACATTGGTGGATCTTCAGGCTCAAATTAAATCCTAACATTCGTTCACTTCTAGCCATTTTGTCACACTTCTCCATTATTGGTTACACATAGTTATTCATCTTCTTCCTCCTGGCTTGCATTCAGATGATTAAGACTTGGCCATGTTGAAGTGATGGCAGCCATTTGTGGTTGTATACTTGGGACCTGATGCAAGAGCGGCTCCCTTTCCTGAAGAATATTAATAAACCACTAGGTTTTTTTTTTTGAGGTAATACTGCAGGTTTTCAAGTGACTTTTAAATATTTGGCCCTCATGAGTAGACTTGCAGAATTCTCTTTCCTGGCTTGTCGCGATGGATTGGAATTCATGAGCTCCATCCAGTGCCATTACAATTAGGCTCAAATATTTAATTTTCATTCCCTATAAAGAGCAAGCACCAGTTGTCAGTCTGATACAAATGGAAGGTAACGAACAGGGTATTATCGAGATGTCATAACAAGCGTACTTTTGTAAAATCTGGTGGTTGGAGTCATACCTGACACATAGGAAGATGGTTGTGCTTGTTGGAGGTCAGTCATCTGAGCACCACGACATCTCTGCAGGAGTTCCTCAGGGGAGTGTCCTAGGCCCAACCATCTTCAGCTTCCCTCCATCATAAGGTCAGAAGTGGGGATGTTCGCCAATGATTGTACAATGTTCAGCACCATTTGCAACTCCTCAGATACTGAAGCAGTCCATGTTCAAACACAATAAGGTCTGGACAATATCCAGGCTTGGGTTGACAAGTGGTAAGTGACATTCATGCCACTCAAATGCCAGGCTATGACCATCACCAATAAGAGACAATCTAACCACCGCCTCTCGACATTCAACGGTGTTACCATCACTGAATCCCCCACTATCAATATCCTGGGGGTTACCATTGACCAGAAACTCAACTGGACTCACCACATAAACACAGTGTCTACCAGAGCAGGCCAGAAGCTGGGAATACTGCAGCGAGTAACTCACCTCCTGACTCCCCAAAGCCTGTCCACCGTCTCCAAGGCACAAGTCAGGAGTGTGATGGAATACTCCCCACTTGCCTGGACGGGTGCAGCCCCAACAACACTCAAGAAGCTTGACACAATCCAGGTCAAAGCAGCCGCTTGATTGGCACCACATCCTCAAGCATCCACTCCCTCCACCACCGACGCTCAGTAGCAGCAGTGTGTACTATCTACAAGATGCACTGCAGAAATTCACCAAAGATCCTCAGACAGCACCTTCCAAACCCACAACCACTTCCACCTGGAAGGACAAGGGGAAGCAGATACATGGGAACACCACCACCTGCAAGTTCCCCTCCAAGCCACTCACCATCGTGACTTGGAAATATATCACTGTTCCTTCACTGTCGCTGGGTCAAAATCCTGGAATTCTCTCCCTAATATCATTGTGGGTCAACCTACAGCAGGTCAACTACAGCGATTCAAGAAGGCAGCTCACCACCACCTTCTAAAGGGCAACTAGCGACGAGCAATAAATGCTGGCCAGTCAGTGACACCCACATCCCAAAAATGAATAGAAAAAAAAAGAGTATGTTAGACAACAATTTTGTGGAAAATAGCTATATGGCACTTCTTGTTGGATTAGCTCAAGGTACTTTCTTTACAGCAGGGAAATTTGAGGGGGTACCTGAAGGAAGTGTGTATGATTATGAGGGGCATGGACAGAGGGTATAGAAAGCAGGTATTCCCTTGGTTGAGGGGCTAATAATAAGGGGCACATATTTTAAAGTGAAAGACAGGACCTCAACCTTTGGAAAAGTACTTAGATGAGCAATTGAAATGCCTTAACATTCAAGACTATGAGCCAAGTGCTGGAAAGTGGGACTAGGATAGATTTAGAGTGCAGACTCGATGAGCTGAAGGTCCTCTCATGTCCTGTATGATTCAATTAAATCCTGGAACACCTTCCCTGACAACTCTGTGAGTTACTCAGGACTATCTTACATCACGTGGACTGCTATGGTTCCAGAAGGTGACAAAGCCGCGCCTTCTCCAGGGTAATGAGGGATGGGCAATGCCTACATACATCCCCAAGAACAAATAAAAATCAACGTTGTGGATGGTGCAGTTTGTGCCCACAAACTTCCTTTCAATAGAATGTTTCGCTCTGCTTTTGTATCATTATTTAGATTTCTGAATTGCTGTCTAAATGCAGTGGCTCAGTGGTTAGTGTACAAAACTCTGGTGCGGCCGCACTTGGAGTATTGCATACGGTTCTGGTCACCGCATTATAGGAAGGATGTGGAAGCATTGGAAAGGGTGCAGAGGAGATTTACCAGGATGTTGCCTGGTATGGAGGGAAGGTCTTATGAGGAAAGGCTGAGGGTCTTGAGGCTGTTTTCATTAGAGAGAAGAAGGTTAAGAGGTGACTTGATAGAGACATACAAGATGATCAGAGGATTAGATAGGGTGGACAGTGGGATCCTTTTTCCTCGGATGGTGATGGTTAGCACGAGGGGACATAGCTTTAAATTGAGGGGTGATAGATATAGGACAGATGTCAGAGGTAGGTTCTTTACTCAGAGAGTAGTAAGGGCGTGGAATGCCCTGCCTGCAAAAATAGTAGACTCGCCTACTTTAAGGGCATTTAAATGGTCATTGGATAAACATATGGATGATAATGGAATAGTTTAGGTTAGATGGGCTTCAGATTGGTTTCACAGGTCGGCGCAACATTGAGGGCCAAAGGGCCTGTACTGCGCTGTAATGTTCTATGTTCTATGTTAGCACTGCTGCCTCACAGCGCCAGGGAGCCGGGTTCAATTCCACCCTCAGGCGACTGTCTGTATGGAGTTTGCACATTCTCCCTGTGTCTGCGTGGGTTTCCTCTGGGTACTCTGGTTTCCTCCCACAGTCCAAAGATGTGCAGGTTAGGTGGATTGGCCATGCTAAATTGCCCATAGTGTTCAGGGATGTGTAGATTAGGTGAGTTACAGGGGGATGGGTCTTGGTGGGATGCTCTGAGGGTCGGTGTGGACTTGTTGGGCCGAAGGGCCTGTTTCCACACTGTAGGGGTGCTATGATCTTAATATTCTAGGTGGTATTGTGGTGCAGTGGTAGCGTCCCTGCCTCCTGAGCTCTAAGGTCCAGGTTCGAGTCCAGTTCCAGGACTCGCTGCCCAAGGGAGATGAATTCATCTTGTGTCTAAACAGGTTGGGCACCAACCTGCCAAATCTGATCCTTCCAGCACATGCTAATTGGGAGGGGGTGTGTAAGAGCAGGAGAGATTCCTGGTCAGCTGTGTAATGGAAAGATCTTTCACTCTCACTGTCCATTGCTCCAGACTAACACATGAATGTAAGCAGCTCGGTTCCCTGTGTAATACCCCTTCAATCATTGTTGCATTGGCTTTTGTAGGTTCCAATCACTAGCCATGATCTTGCAACTTGGAGTCATATAATTTTTATGCACAGAAAAGGCTTTTCAGCCCATCACCTCCATGCTGGTCATTAGGCACCTGTTTATTCTAAACCTATTTTCCAGCTCTTGGCCCACAGCCTTCTACACAATGGCGTTTCAAGTATTCACTTAAATATGTCATAAATTTGTAACGCAGAAGGATGCTGACAGTGTGGGCTCAATTCATGCACTGGCTGAGGTTCCCATGAAGGACTCTCCTTCTCAATCTCTCCCCTCGCCTGGGGCATGGTGACCCTCAGGTTAAACCACCAGCACTCGTGTTTGTCTAATGAGAGAGCAGGTTCAGGGTTCCTACATTTACCAAGCTTTTAGGCAGTCTGTTCCAGCTAGCCAATACCTCCTGGGTGAAAATATTTTTCCTTGAATCCCCTCTGAACCTTGTGCCCCTTATTTAAAATCTGTGTCCCTTCTACTAAGGGGAAAAGTTTCTCCTTATCTGCCCTGTCAGTGCCCCTCAGAACTTTGTAGACGTCAATCAGATCCCCTCAGCTTCCTCTGCTCTGAGGAAAACAACCCAAGCCTATGTAGTGACTCTTCAGAGCTGAAACACTCCAGCCCAGGCAACATCCTGGTAAATCTCCTCTGCACCCTCTCCAGTGCAATCACATCCTGCCTATAGTGTGGAGACTCGAACTAGGCACAGCACTTCAGCTGCGGCCTAAGTAATGTTATAAACAGCTCCATTGTAAGTTCCTTGCTCATGTATTCAGTGCCTTTACTAGTAAAGACATGTTTCCCAAATGACTCCTGAATCACCTTATCTGTGTGTCCTGCTACCTTAAGGATTTATGGATGGGCACACCACGGTGCCCTGATCTGCTATACTTCCTACGGTCCACATCTAATGGCTCTCTTCCAAATCAGTTGTTGACCCACAGATTAAAATGTGCGTACGTTAATGAACAGTGAGCAATGCTATTTGTTAACATCGTTTCAACAATCCTGGTCAGCACTTATTGTCCACTGTATTACCCAGAGGGCAATTAAGCATCATTCACATCACTGTGGGTCTGCAGTCACAAGTAGGCCAGACCACGTGAGGATGGCAGATTTCCTTCCTGAATGACATGAGTGAATCAGATGGGTCTTTACAAAAATCGACAGGGATTACTAGGTGTTGGTTTGCTCAGTTGGTTGGACAGCTGATTAGCAAATGCAGAGTAATGCCAACAGCGTACGTTCAGTTGCCAAACTGGCTGATGATGATGATGTGGGTACTTGAAACCTGAGACATAAACCGGAGGACAATCACAAGAAAACATTCTCAAATATTTTTAGTACACGCCATGACTGGATTTCAGAGAGGCAGACAGCTCCATTGTTGAAGGATTTGAGTGATCATTATAGAGTAAAGGTAAAGCCACTCAGTTGGCTGGATGGTTGGTTTGTAACGCAGAGGGATGGTAACAGTGTGGGCTCAATTCCTGCTCTGGCTGAGATTCCCATGAAAGGACTCTCCTTCTCAACCTCTCCCCTCGCCTGAGGCACAGTGACCCTCAGGTTAAACCACCACCAGTCCTGTCTGTCTAATGAGAGAGCAGTCCTATCATCTGGTAAGGCTATATAAAATTTACATTTACGCAATTGCCATTCCTTTTTATAAAATCCAGCTTTTTATCGAATTCAAATTTCGCCATGCCATAGTCAGATTTGAACCCATGTCCCCAGAACATTAGCCTGGAGTTCTAGAAGACTCATCTAGTAATGACGACGACAACAACACAGCAGGCCTGGCAGCATCTGTGAAGAGAAAATCAGAGTTAACACTTCGCGTCCAGTGACTCTTCCTCAGAACTGATGGCAGGTGACAATACCATCCTGCTGTTAGCTGATAGACCCTGCTTTCATGCAAGATCATTTTAATTCCATTTTTATATTTTTGTGGCGTTACTGTGTAAACAGAGTGAAGAATATATTGTTAACAGACTATGCTGGAATATTTATGCAGAGCTCCTACAACTATTATGTTAGTGTTGAAAACCTGCTATTTTGTTTTTTTTGTTGTAGGATGGATGACAATTATAACATAATTCCCCATGGAGTTAATTTTCAGGATGCCATTTTTCCAGACACGACTGAGAACATGAAGATGTTTTCCAGTCTCTTCCAATTCTCTAATTGCACACAAGGGCAACATTCACTCGAAACGTATGCTTCTGACTGGGAAATCCAGGAGGATCATAGGGTAAGGCTGCCACCTACTGGTCATCTTCATTAGGGCTTTGTGGATTTTTGGTAGCGGAATAATACTTTGAAATCATTATTTCAGAGATAGCCGGAACTGCAGATGCTGGAGAATCTGAGATAACAAGGTGCAGAGCTGGATGAACACAGCAGGCCAAGCAGCATCAGAGGAGCAGGAAGGCTGACATTTCGGGCCTATACCCTTCTAGGCTCTGCCTCATCCAGCTCTGCACCTTGTTATCTTTGAAATCATTATGATTGTTTGAAAGCCAAATGTACATGTTGTTTCATTTTAAAGTTCCAATCTGTAAATCTGATGAATGCCTGCATATTTTAATGGAAATGATTGAATGTCAACTGCTTTTTAGTAGTTTGAAACAGGATATCATTTATGTGTATAAAAACTAAATTGTTTCAATACGACATTCTTGTCTATATCCTATTCCTGGTTCTTGCATTAAGCTGAAGGTAATTCGATTCTGTTTAAGAGTCTACTGTATCTTGTTTACCAAAATTGTGCTGTCTTAAAGAATTGTAGGAATCCATTGTGCTTTCTAATTTATATATTAAAAAATTGTAAGTGTTTGGCAGATCTCCCATTGAAATTTGCAACTATGATTGAACATCTGCATTCGGCTTTATTTCGTAAATTATCTTGGGATGTTTTGTATAGCCAAAAATACGAGCCTAGCTAATTTTATTGTGAGAAAAGCAAAATACCATGGATGCTGGAAGTTTGAAATGAAAACATAAAATGTGGGCAAAACTCAGCAGATCTGGCAGCATCTCTAGAGAGAGAAAAACAGAGTTAATCTTTTGAGTCCAGTAGGACTTCTTCAGGTCTGAAGGGGATTGGAAACTAATGGTTCTTATGCTGTTGACAAAGGCAGGGTGGGGTGGGGAGGAGCAAATGGAACAGATGGTGACAATGCCCAGAAGAAAGGAGAAAGAGAGTGTTAATGGTAATACAAAGAACAAAGAAAGTTACAGCACAGGAACAGGCCCTTCGGCCCTCCAAGCCTGCACCAGCATGTTGCCTGTCACAACTGAAACCACCTCCCCCTCCGGGGACCGTATCCCTCTATTCCCATCCTATTCATGTATTTGTCAAAACTCCCTTTGAAGGTCACTAGTATCTGCTTCCACTACCTCCCCTGGTAGTGAGTTCCAGGCACCCACCACCTTCTGTGTAAAAGAAAAACGTGCCTTGTACATCACCTTTAAACCTTGCCCCTTACACCTTAAACCCATGGCCCCTGGTAACTGACTCTTCCACCCTGGGAAAAATCTTCTGACTGTTGACTCTGTCCATGCCCTTCATAATCTTGTAGACCTCTATCAGATCGCCCCTCAACCTCTGTCATTCCAGTAAGAACAACCCAAGTTTCTTCCACCTCTCTTCATAGCTAATGCCCTCCATACCAGGCAACATCCTGGTAAATCTTTTCTGTACCCTCTCCAAAGTCACCACATCCTTCAGGTAGTGTGGTGACCAGAATTGAACACACTATTCCAAATGCAGCCTAACTAAGGTTCTATAAAGCTGCAAAATTTCCTGCCAATTTTCAAACTCAATGCCCCGGCTGATGAAGAAAAGCATGCCATATGCCTTGTTGACTACCTTCTCCACCTGCGTTACCATTTTCAGTGACGTGTGTACCTGTACACTCAGATCCCTCTGCCTATCAGTACTCTTAAGGGTTCTGCCATTTATTTTCCATCTGGATTAGACCTTCCAAAATGCACACAATAGAGTGATATAGATGCAGGATAGCTGTGAATGGTAGGTAGTAATAGCAGGAAATAGCTCAGTCTACATCACAGTGGGAGAGGGGGAAATGAGGGATATGTTTGAAATGGAGGGCTGTGTTCATGCTCATGAAATAACAGCACAGAGGCTGGTATCCCATCACTAAGTCTCCCTTTATTTGCATGTGCACAGTGCATGGGCTCTGACCAGCCAGCTCAAAGCCAACCTCTAGAATGAAGAGTGTCTCGGAATCTCAGCCAGTGCTCCTTGATTAGGAATGTTAACCTGAGCCAATCAGGAATCTCATATTCTATGAGATCGACCTGGCCTTCATTCCAAACACTACACTCTGAAGTTGTTAAACTCAATGGTGAGTCTGGAAAGTTGTAAAATATATTATTGGAAATTGAGTACTGTCCCTGTACCTTGTGTCAGGCTTTGCTAGAACACTGCAGCAGGCGAAGGATTGAAATATTGGTGTGAGAGCAAGGATGTTACTTTTCTTATCTTCCTTGTGCTCTACACTGTGCAGCCGTGTCTGTCTGTTTGCTGCTGGCTCTGAAATCCTTCCATTCATCCAACATTGTTTCTTTCTCTGCCTTTCCCCACAGCAGTTCCCTGCCCTTCTCAAATCTGTTCTACTTCTGCCTTTCTCTCCTGTGTCCATTCCTTTTTTCAATTTGATCTCCCTCTACAAAACAATCTTTCTCTCCATTATCCAGTAGAAGGTAGGTACTATTCCGTTTTCACTCTCTGTTCAGAAGGATGCCACTTGCTTTAATCCTTACCTCCAACAGAATTTCATCTGTTCCTCTACCTCTCTCCTTACCCATACCCTGATATCTGTTTGTCACTTTGCACTACACCCCTTTATGAGAGTGCCAAGTGAGTCTCTCTACTCCCCCAACTCTGTGTCTCCCTTCCCCCCAATATCAGTCACAATATACCCCTTCCCACCACCCTCCACAAACTATGGGGTCTGTTCTCTTCCTTGTCCTCCAGATAAAGTTTATCATTCTGTCTCTCACTTTTGTCTCCTATTCCTGGGCAGTAGCACAGCTGAGAAAACATTTCACTGGTTATGGACTTCTCCACAAGTACCTACTGTGCTGTCTTGCCAATTCCTTAACCCATTCCCTCCCTTGTTGCTTCTTTTCTCTTCTGTTGAATTTCCTTTCATGTTCCTGTCTTTTCCTTACTCTTACTTTGTCTTTTCTATTTCCCGTTTCTTCCGTTATGCTTTCTCTTCTGATTGGTAGCAGCTTAGAGACATTGAGAGAGGGGTTGGAGATGTTGGGGAATAAACAGAAACGACAGTATGACAGGCAGGAAGGAGGGGTACACTTTGAGCAGTTGTAGTTCTGTACCGGAGACTGAGCAGTGGGCCAAGAAACTACAGCAGGTGTGGGTGACTGCTTTGACCGTGTCTCAGGCAAACTCCAAACAGAAAGAACTTGTGTTGCAACTTTTATGATTGCAAGATATCCCAAAGCACTTTACAACCAACGTTCTACCACTTAAGTTTCATCATTGTTATAGCATAGGGGAAAATTAATATAAATTTCACTGTGCTTTCTGTTGTGAGTATGATGCATCGGAAGTCCAGGTTGTTCAGAGGGGTCTGTGTTGCTTGTGGAAGATGAACTGGTGCTGGTTAAAGGTTTATAGTTAAGTAGCTGGAATTTTTGGGTCAATGAGCAAAGAAAGATATTTATGGGATGTTTAGATGAGAAACTATTGTAAATATTGTGGCAGTTGTATCTCATGTTATGGGAGAAACTTTAAATTGAGGATGAATGTCATGCATAATGTGGATATTCATAATAAATAGAGAAGAATAGAGACATGGGTAAAAGTGAAGAGGAAGCACAGCCTTGACACAGCAGGCCATGGCAATATGATTTGATATTATTTCAAGTTCAATGTGTAGTATGACAGTGGTGATTAATCTAACAAAGATTATAGGCACTATAATTGGGGTAAAATCCATAAATTAGACAATTTCAAAAGCGTCAAGTACAAAAGTGCTTTCTTCATCAGTTCTCTGCCCACAGGAAGAGCTGATGCACAATGCTTGATTCTTCTCTACAGCTACAGCAAAGGTACAGGCCCTGAATTCACCATAAGGCACCAATCTAACCCCACAATGCCTGAGCCTGGCAGTCTCACCTTCAATGCTGTGCGTTGCTATGCCAATGGACACTTTCACCTGTATGTTATAGTCTTGAGGTTCCATTTTCTTTCCCTCACCTGATTGAGCAGAATTTCTCCCATTCTTACCATCTACCAGTGATGTACATTGGATGGATTTGCAAATGGATAGCCAACCTGTTTGGCCACATTAGGAGCAGAACCTCCTCAGCTGTCAAGTCCTGAAGTGGGATTTGAAGCCAGAGCTCAGAAGTAAGGATGTTACCCACTACACCACAAGACCTCCCTAGAAATGGTGCCACTAAAGGCAGTAGGGTTGATGTTTCCATTGTTTGCTCCATTCAGAGGTATGTACCAGCAGGTCTAATATAATTCACAATGCTGTGATTTGCTAAAATCACTGCATGTGCATGTTATTCCATTGTGAATGATTACAAGGAAAGTTCTAAAATATTTTATTATGGGTTGTGGGCATTTCTGGCTCAGCAAGCATTTATTGTCCATTCTTAATTGGGCAGATAACTGTATGGGTCTGGAGTCCAATGTAGGTCAGACCAGGAAAGGAAATCCTTTCCTGAAGGACAATAAACAGTGGTTACATGTCGCCATGTGGTTAGATTTCTTTTCCAGATTTCGTTGAATTCATCTGTTTTCTGCCACTGTAGGATTCAGTTCCATATCCCTGAGAAATCTGCCACCCTTACTTGGTCTGGGGTTTTGATTGCGAGTCCAGTGACGTGTCTGCGTGGGTTTCCTCCGGGTCCTCCAGTTTCCTCCCACAGTCCAAAGATGTGCAGGCTAGGTGAATTGGCCATGCTAAACTGCCCGCAGTGTTCAGGGATGTGTAGATTAGGTGGGTTTATAGGGGAATGGATCTGGGTGGGATGCTCTGTGGAATGGTGTGGACTTGTTGGGCCAAAGGGCCTGTTTCCACACTGTAGGGATTCTATGATTCTATGAGCCCCTCCTCCCCAAAGGTACTGTAATCAGTTTTCATTGTAAAGATTCATAACTCTTGATCACACTCCCTTATTTTTTCCTAAATCCTTGGAAGCCTGACAAAACAAAATCAAAATGAATACTGGAAGAACTGAAGACAA